TAATAATAATAATAATAATAATAATAATAATAATAATAATAATAATACAGACTGACAAAGTTTTGGAACACAATACCCCGGATATCACGATTGTGGAGAAGAAAAAAGTGTGGATCGTCGACATTGCCATACCTGGTGACAGCAGAATTGCCGAGAAACACCTTGAAAAAGTCACCAGATATCAGGACTTGAGAATCGAACTGCAGAGACTCTGGCATAAAACCAGTGCAGGTGGTTCCAGTGGTAATTGGCACACTGGGTGCTGTGCCTAAAGACCTAGGCAAGCACTTAAAAACAATTGGCACTAACAAGATCACCATTGGTCAGCTGCAGAAGGCCACCTTACTGGGATCTGCTCGCATAATCCACCGATACATCACGCAGTACTAAACACTTAGGAAATGTTCGACTAGTGATTTGTGATACGAAACCCAGCATGGTTATCTCGTTTGCTGTGTATACTGTCATTTTTGTGTATAGTAATAGTAATAATAGTAATAGTAGTAGTAGTAGTAGTAGTAGTAGTGAATTCTGGCAGTTTTAAATTCACCCAGCTTAAAGTTGCCAAGGTTGGACAACACCAGTTTCCAAACAGAGTATTCTGGTAATGCAGTGAGAGTTCTGCCTTATACAAATAGTCCTCGCTTAGTGACTGGTTGCTTAGCAACCATTCAAAATTACAATGGAATCCCCAAAAGCTATTTATGACCTGGTTCCAGAATTCCAATGGCTGCCCACACCCCCAATCACATGACCATATTTTGGATGCTTGGTACATGGCTAGCTTTTATGGCCATTTGCAGCATTCTTTGATCACGGGAAGACAGTTTTGAACATTTTTCCCAGTTCACAGCTTTTTTGGCAGGTTTCCAGAAAAAAAATGCCCATTTTTATTTTATTTATCAAATTTATTTGCCGCCCATTTTGTGATTCAGGTAAGGGATGCCCATAGGAATACATGGATTCATTTAACAGTGTTCACTTAATGACTGCCATGTTTGCTTAACGACCACCACAAAAAATGTGTAAAATTGGACCTAGTCATGCGGATGTCTGACTTATAACTATCATGACTTACAAAGGAAATTCCAGGCACCGCTACGGTCGTAAGTCGAGGTCTACCAGTAATTTTATACATATTGAACACCTAAACACAACTGTTGAACAGTAAATACTGTTCATTGACTTAGATCAGCTTTTAGCACGCATGAATGAAGTCTGTTGAAATGGGGTTGCTATAAAGATGAAAAGTGTACTGTACCCTGAGAAATTGAAGGATGTTTTTAACTGGTCTTTACAGATTCCATCTCTTCCGCAGTTCTTCTCAAAGTGCAGCTACGAGGACATGTGGGAAAGATGGAGAGGAAATATCAGCCTCCATGAATAGGTGAGGTGAGAGATAAAATGCTAGAGCAGGATTTCCAAATCTTGGCAACTTTAAGATGCGTGGATTTCAACTCCCAGAATTCCACATGAATTCCCAGACGTGTGGAATTCTGGGAGTTGAAGTCCATAGGTCTTAAAGTTGCCGAGGTTGGAAAACCTTGTAGTACAAGTTGAATCTATACAATGCACCTTTCAGTTCCAAGTCTTTCTTTGTAGAAGTTGACACCACCACATTTATTTATCGTCTTGTTTATATCACTACCTGTAGAAGCTTGCTTTGTGCAGAGAATTGATTCTCGATTTAATTCTGAAAATCTTGGACTTAGTCCTTCAGAGACAGAACCCACTGGTTCACAGCCACTCAATTGGATTCCTCGATGGACTTGCATCCATGTTATTTGAGGGACCTCCTCTTACCGATTACATCTGACAATTCCATCAGATCCATCAGAGGAGGCATGATGTGGTCCTTCCTCCAGTAGAAGAGGTGTGCTATGGGTCCTATTACTACTAAGAGTCTGCTAAATTGCTACTATCTGGCAGGACCAAAAGACAGGCCTTTTCTGCTATGGCATCCACCTTAAGGGATGAGGCTGGGTTTGTCATTATTAACTGTGAGCACCAAGGCAAGGGCAAATTGTTGATGTGGCTCGATTGTTAACATCTGTTGCTCTCTCTTTACCTTTTAATTATAATATTAATATTTAATTGTCTGTTGTTTTTATAAAATATATTTTTAATTTTCTTATTGTTTGTTGCCCAGAGTCACATTTTTGTGGGAGGTGTGGTTATATAAATATGATGAAAAAATAAATAAATGTTAAATTAATATCTGTCAATTGACTAGCTGAGCTTTTATGACCAGAAAGACTTGTCACATGACAAATAAACAAACTTTGTGTTGCTGAGGTAAAACTTCCAGCAAGATCATTTTTGATGGAAAGAATTTTCAGAAATAAGTATAAGGGCTTGTTACTTCCCTGTTGTCAGCTCTGTAAGCTAGACCAGACTAAGAAATGGACACTGAACAGACCTAAAGCTACGGTTATTAGAATAGCTGTAGCAACAGAATCTTGCACCTCTGTATGAACTTCTTTCCTCCTCATTTTATCTTCACGAGAATTAGCGTAGGAGGTCTGTCTCAGAGCTTTTGTAAAACATTATGTTGGTGCAGTGATTAGAATGCAGTATTCTGTCAACTGTCAACAGTTCAATCCTGACCAGCTCAAGGTTCCTTCCAGGGTCAGTAAAATGAGGACCCAGATTGTTGGGGGCAATATGCTGATTCTGCAAAATGCTTAGAGAGGGCTGTAAAGCACTGTGAAGCAGTATAAAAGTCTAAAATCTATTGCTATTTTTATAGGCTGAGCTCAAGCCTTGTTTATTTGATCATTTATTTTATTGATTTATCAAATTTATGCTGCCATCCATCTGAGCAGAAGATGGTGAAATACCACTGCCTTAGCAGATCTTCCCTCTGTCCTTCAAGGCCATTCTCTTTACTCACTACATCTTTATACAGTGGTACATTGTCTTTAATGGGTTCAGGGAAGTACAACGAGTACCAAAAAGGATTAGTACCAAACAATTTTTTTCCCATAAAGAATAATATAGGGAGTCATAAGGCAGCTGTCCTTCCCCTCTCCTGCCCATCCCGTCACCTCATTTCAGTTATCACCATTTATGCATCCCCCTTCATTCCATGCACATGCAAAATAAAAATAGGTAAGGCAGGATGTGCAAGGAAGGTGACCCACAAATGGAAGAAAAATGACCTCCATTCCTGAATATGTAGCTTGTACATTGAGTACCAAACAAACCATGAGTACCAGGACAAAATGTTTGCATCAAAACATGTTGAGTATCAAATTCAAAGCAGTCGAGTATCAGGTACCACTGTATTAAACTTCAATTCCACACCTTTCCTGTATGGATTTGTTCAACCAAGTGACACTAGGGGAATGCACGCTGGGACTTACAGATGCCAAAAGCAGATTAGACTCATCATCTTTCTTCAGGATGGCCCGTAGATTGTTGGCCTGTGGGATTGGCTCTCCCATCAGGGTATAATTCAGCTGAAGGATTATGGGGGTGAGGCTGTCTTCTACGCAAGTCTGTCCTCATGAGGAATCAGGGGGAAACAAAAAAGAACGGCTTGATTTCATGGCAGCATCTGACGTTCCACATTAAAGATCAGACTTTTTTTAAAAAAAAACTGTTTCTGGTCTGAACCCTGCCCATCCCCAGCCCTTCCAAAACCTCTTCTCTCACCGGTAATTTTATACGGTACATCCTGGATTCTGTCCCCACACCGATCTTCATCTCTTCTGTGGTGGTAGACAAATTCGAACCCTGGTGAAAAACAGCTCGTACTTTCTGGCGACCAGGATCCAAGGTCAAAGTGTACCGAATGGTGTTGAAAGTGTTATTGCCTGAAGGAGATTACAATCAAGTTCAGAACACCTGTATTCTAAAAACTTCCCTTACAAGAGCACAAAATTTTGGTGAATTACAACTAGGAAGTCCTTTCTATTGTCTCGGATTTCTCTGAAGGCATTGTCTTTAGGGATGCTAGGTTTAATGAAGGATTGTATTGCAATGATACTCTGGTGAATTTTCCACAATCATTTATTTATGGAAGAACGCTGCAAAAAATAGTGAACAATAATCCGGTGCAGTGAAACCCTCTGAATTTATCAGGTGCTACTCAGATCTCTGGAGGCTTCCTATGGACTGACTCAAATCAAAACTACACTTGAGAAGATTCCATCATTGTCCTTCAGATGCAGATGAGCAGTGGGGAAGAAATAATCTGAGAAACTGTGCAGGAGCCCAAACAGTACCTTTGAAGACCTGTAAACCTACCGAAGGTAAACCGGATGTCTCCTACGATTTTAAAATTGACTGTCGCTGTGCTGATTTCTTTGTTCAGCACATTCTGGCCTTCACACTCAAAGGCAGACATGGGGATGATAGTTGGGTTTAAGGTTATTCCAGTCACCACACTGACCACAGGTCGGGCTCTACGGCAGATATAAATAGGACACATTAGAGTGAGCTATAAGGAATTACTCCAGATCCATTCTGAGAAGATTACACACTATTAAAGAGATGTTGAGACTTTAGAAAAAGTGCAGAGAAAAGCAACCAAGATGATTAGGGGACTGGAGGCTAAAACATACAATGAACGGTTGCAGGAACTGGGCACAGCTAGTCTAGTGAAGAGAAGGACCAGGAGAGACATGAGAACAGTTCATTAGAAATGGACTATTGTCTATTCTACTTCAGACAGTGCATTCACACTGATAGTCTTTACATAAAATCCAGGGGAGCTGGATATAAGATGGCTGGCTATATTAATATTTTAAAGAACAAAACAGAACAGAACAAGTACAGAGAAGAACAACAAAGATGATTAGGGATCTGGAAGCTAAACCATACAATGAACAATTGAGGGAAGTAGGCATGTCTAATCTAACAAAGAGACGGACCAGGGTTGACATGATAGCAGTCTTCCAATACTTGAGGGACTGTCACAGAAAAAGGTCAACCTTTTTTCCAATGGACCAGAAGGCAAGACAAGAAATAGCAGATGGAAGATTATCAAGGAGAGATCCAACCTAGAACTAAGGAGAAATTTCCTGACAGTGAGAACAATTAACCAGTAGAACGGCTCGCCTTCAGAAGTTGTGGGTGCTGCATTTCTGGAAGTTTTTAAAGAAGAGACTGGACATCCATTTCTCAAGAATGGTATAGACAGGTCTCCTGCTTGAGCAGGGGGTAGGACTAGAAGACCTTCAAAGTTCCTTCCAACTCTGTTATTCTATATTCAGGGTAGAACAGAGCAGAATAGAAACCAGCTTTACCTTAGGAGCAGCACTTGTCTGTCAGCCCCAACAGCCAGATCTGGGAGTCCATCACCTGTAAGTTCTGACCCCCCATCAAGAGCTTGTCCAAAATACTGAAGCCTATTGGCAACAATAGAAGATCGGATGCGCTGCAAAGAAGAAACATAGCAAAGGAACTTATATATATGTATATATATGTGTGTATATATATATATATTTGGTGACGTTTTGACGAAATCTCATTCATCATCTTCAGGCTTGTGTCTTCGTCTTTGTGCTTCTTGTAGTAATGTGAGCTTGCAGCTGTTTTTTCTTTTAACTGCCAGTGGGAGTGCGACTTGACTGGGTGGGGCCTTGGCTGTGTTCCCATTGGTTGGGGGTCGAAACATCGCCAAAATACTTCCAATTTTACGCGGGAGAAAACCCGAATAACCAAAGATCCACATACAAATACCCGCGAAAAGCTCAGAAAACATATATATATTCGGGTATATATATATATATATATATATATATTCGGGTATTTTCCCATGTCATTGTAGTTGTTCTTTTAAAGTTGTAGCGACGTTTCAGCAGAATCTCATCTGCCATCATCAGGCTTGTGATGATGATGATGATGATGATGATGATGTTGCTTGCACTGGCACAAAGCCAAAAGCACCAGCCTGAGGATGGCGAGTGGGACCTCACCGAAATGTCGCCAAGATATTCTCAATCTTACACGTGAAAAGACCCGAACATGCCAAGACCTGCATACATATACATACATACATACATACATACATACATACATACATACACATATACATATACATATACATATACATATACATATACATATACATATACATATACATATACATATACATATACATATACATATA